CCCTCGCGAGATGGCTTCTCAGCAGACGCTGTCTGCCTCTCCCTTCACCAGCACCGCTACTGTCTCGAGCTTTGAAGAATCCTTCGACCCTTACGCACACAACACCGACTTTAAGGGTTCCTCGCTTATTTCCGACGAGCTTGAGGGCTCTCACGGCCGAAAGGGTCCTAGGCTTCACGATGCTCTTACCCGCTTCCGCAACATGCGCCGTGCCGGTCGTCACCCCCGCTACATCACCTACGCCAAGCTGATCTCTGCCGCCTCCCGCGATGGCAAGATGGAGCTGTGCAACGATATTCTCGCCATGGCGCGCACTGATGTTCCTCTCCTCCCTCAGTATGCGGTTGTCCGCTACGGCTGGTCTTCCATCTTAGATGCCATGGTTGGCGCGTGTCTCACCATGGGTCACCGCCAAATGGCCGAGCAGTACCACCAGGAGCTTCTTGCGATGGGTGCGGCTCCTTCCGCCAACACCTTTGGTTTGTACATCACCACCCTCAAGGAGTCCGCCAAGACGTTCGACGAGGCCTCTGAGGCTGTCAAGATCTTCCACCGTGCCAAGGCCGAGGGTGTCGAACCCAGTTCCTTCTTGTACAACGCTCTGATTGGCAAGCTGGGCAAGGCTCGCCGCATTGACGACTGCTTGTTCTACTTCGCCGAGATGCGTGCCTTGGGTATCAAGCCTACGTCCGTTACCTACGGCACCATAGTCAACGCTCTTTGCCGAGTGAGTGATGAAAAGTTTGCCGAGGAGCTGTTCGATGAGATGGAGGCTATGCCTAACTACAAGGCGCGCCCCGCTCCCTACAACAGCATGATGCAGTTCTTCCTCACCACCAAGCGCGACAAGTCCAAGGTCCTTGCCTATTACGAGCGCATGAAGTCCAAGGGCATTGCTCCTACTGCACACACCTACAAGCTTCTTGTCGACACGCACGCAACTCTCGAGCCTATTGACATGGCTGCCGCTGAGAAGGTTCTGGAAGCCATTCGCGCCTCTGGTCAGAAGCCCGAAGCCGTCCACTTCGCAGCCCTCATCCACGCTCGTGGCTGCAATCTCCACGACATGGAAGGCGCCCGCAAGGTGTTCGACTCCGTCATGTCCGACCGATCTGTCACCGCCACCGCCAGTCTGTTCCAGGCCCTCTTCGAGGCCATGGTCGCCAACCACAAAGTTGTCGACACCGAGGTTATTCTTGCCCAGATGCGCCACCGAGGTGTTGAGATGACGCCGTACATTGCGAACACGCTGATCCACGGCTGGGCTGCGGTGAAAAAGATTGAGAAGGCGCAAGCCATTTACGATTCTGTTGGACACGAGAAGCGTGAGCCCAGCACTTACGAAGCCATGACCCGCGCATACCTCGCTGTCGAAGAGCGCGAGAAGGCCAAGGGTGTTGTCGGCGAGATGCTCTGCCGCGGCTACCCCAGTGCCGTTGTCAACAAGGTGCTGGAGCTTTTGGGCGGTGGCGGCGGTGTTGAGGAGGCTGTTGTTCAAAACTGATCTTCCTCGGCCATGCTGCCCTGTCTGTTTGAATCACTCGAAATGCGCACCGAGCCGTCGCTCTGCTCTAGTCGAGTCAGTACTTTTCTTTTGTCTTTGCCCTCATCCACCGTGTTGCTTGATACCCCGTTGTGTTTTGAAGTCGTTGGACTGAGGGTCCGGGGTGTCTGGTCAAGAATGGGCGGCCAGTTTGATTTTCGGCATTGCGCCGGAACCAGTTTTTCCTATCGTCACTGTTTAATGTCGGAGTATGATTTTGGAAGTTGAAATTACATTGTCCCAACAATACGGGCGATACGGCGTTGAGGGACTTAAAAGGGGGGTCAATGCGACTGAGCACCCTATTCCAGGGGCTTTTTACCGGAAAGCGAGCGATGACGGCCAATGGCCCTAAACTATAGACACAAACAACAACCCCACTCCAGCATATTTCCACAAAAAAAAGAGGGCGCCGGATAGAAGATGCGCGATGCAGCATAGAGGATCATGAAATGGGGATGGGATTGGGATATTCGGGGGTCGGGTTACGACGACATGTCATGAGGACATGTGATCCAGCTGTATGTATATTATTGACAGCATGCCTTCCAAGAAGGAAGGGGGGAAAAAAAGATCTGTCGACTGTTCCAAACGTTCATCATGATGCTTGTGAAGACTATGGTCGTGGGCTGGTGACGAGGAAAAGTGTTCTTGTCTACAATGATGTGAAATGACCATGCTTGTTTCAAGAACTGGGTCTAAGCTTGTGCTATTCATGATTACTGACTGACGGCAAGCTCGAGGTGTTTGACTGCTACGAAGTCAGTAGTGACGTCGAGTTAGCAATGTGCCAAAGCATGCTTGGCGATATCAGACTCGCTGGGGTAGAGCTGGTGGGTCGTACAGTGTTTAGTCAGTGCCCCTCGCGATTGCACGGTGATTTCCGCACTGCCATCCGTCTCCTCTCCTACGATGCGCATTCGCAAGTCAAACTTTCAACCTAGCATGCCTCACTTTCATCCCCGCCTGCGTCATCACATAACCACCCCTCACTTCACCTCGTGCACCGTTTTACTGTCACTCATAAGAGGACATCGACTCCAATTCCAGAAATCAAGGCCCACAGATTCTCACTCAGTTCGAAATCGCCGGCGAAACTTTTTGACCCACAAGAGGGAGTTTATTGTCAGGCGAGGATCCCGAACCCAAGGCCCGAAGAAGAAACATTAAAACTAAAATAGAATAACCTCCAAAGGGAACGTACTACCCGGGACAAGAAAAAGAGAGAAAAACAAAGAAAAAAGAAAGAAAAGGGGGAAAAAGTTAAGCGCGGAGCCAAGCATCCCAAGATGACGGCCTCGATGACCTCGAACCCCACCACGACGGCCGTCTCGGCGCCGGGCAAGGTGCTCCTCGCGGGCGGCTACCTGGTGCTGGACCGGGCCTACACGGGCCTCGTCTTCGGGCTCAGCGCCCGCATCAACGTCGTGGCCGCCGAGATCCACACCATGCCCGGCGTGCACCTGACCGAGATCGTTGTCGAGAGCCCGCAGTTCGTCGACGCCGTGTGGCGCTACGGCTTCCATCTCGCGCCCGAGGACGGCGGCATCACCGTCACGCAGCTCCACGTGTAAGTATTCTTCTTCTTCTTCCCCTTTATATCACCTCGTCTCCTGTCTTCTGTTGTGGCTGCGTGAGGGAGGATGGTGTGAGATGTCGACGCCCTGGAGTGAGGCGGGGTTCCCTGGAGAGATAGAGAGGGTTTTTTTGATGAGGGGTTTGCCTTGTGATCTCGCTCGAGAACAGCCCAGGAGTCTTTGGCGTTGAAACCCTTCACGCCTCTCTTGCCGTAGCATCTTTCCTTCGAGGCGCAATTGGCTCATCTTCACACGTGGTCGACATCTTACTCACCCGCCCACTCACTCACTTCACCCTCCCCATTCTCTCACACCGCCCACCTGCGTGGCTAGCTTAATTAACTCACACCCCCCTCGCAGCGGCTCCAAGATCAACCCAAACCCCTTCGTCGAGACAACCCTCAGCTACGCCCTCACCTACATCGCCAGCGTCAACAAGCAGCGCCCCAACCACGCCCTCACCTCGACCCGCCTCGTCATCCTTGCCGACAACGACTACTACTCGCTGCCCGCCGCCACCACCGCCACCCCCATCGCCGGCAAGGGCTCCCGCTTCGCGCGGTACCCCTACACCATCGGCGAGGCGCATAAGACGGGCCTCGGCTCCTCCGCCGCGCTCGTGACCTCCCTCACCGCGGCGCTACTGACGCACCACCTCCCGACCGCGCTCTTCGACCTCACATCAGAGGCGGGCAAGCACACCCTGCACAACCTCGCGCAGGCGGCGCACTGCGCCGCGCAGGGCAAAGTCGGCTCCGGCTTCGACGTTGCCGCCGCCGTGTTCGGGAGCTGCCGGTACCGCCGCTTCTCGCCGTCCCTGCTGTCCGACCTCGTATCCCCCGGGACGCCGGGCTTCGCGGACACGCTCGTGAGGAAGGTCGACGAGCTCCGCTCGTGGGACGTCGAGGTCGACAAGGCCGGCGTGAGCCTGCCCGAGGGCGTGTGCCTGCGCATGTGCGACGTGGACTGCGGGAGCCAGACGGTGGGCATGGTGAAGAAGGTCCTCGAGTGGAGGAAGGGCGATCCCGGGGCGTCCAAGGCGCTCTGGGATGAGCTGCAAGCGCGGAACGAGGAGCTCGCCGGGGTGCTGCGGGACGGGAAGGTCGGTGGGGTCGGCGCGGCGCTCGGGGCCGTGAGGCGGCTCATCCGCGCGATGGGCGAGGGGAGCGGCGTGCCGATCGAGCCGGCGTCGCAGACGGAGCTGCTGGACGCTCTGGGCGGCGTCGACGGCGTGCTGGGCGGCGTGGTGCCCGGCGCCGGCGGCTTCGACGCGCTCGCGCTGGTGATGCGGGACGACGAGGCGACCAGGCAGCGGGTCGAGGAGTTCCTGGAGGGGTGGAGCAAGGAAAAGGGCGGACAGGTGCGGTTGCTGGGCGTCAAGGGGGAGATGGAGGGAGCGAGGAGAGAGGAGCTCGACGAGTATGCCGGGTGGCTGTCTTGATGGCGGCGCCGGCGGTAGCGACTGCTTTGAGCGATGCGGGCGCGTGGATATATATCCGTATATATACAGGACCATAGTTAATAAATACGTAAAACAAGAAGTGCGTGAGGATAAAATCGACATTTCAGTGGTGATTCTGCCCAACGTAAGTTGAGATGAGAGGCGTGAAGCATTCTCAATGTCGTATCATTCTTGCAGTTGTTGCACGCTCCGGGTCAGGTATTTTAGGGGGCCTGGTCAGCCTTTTTGCCCGTAATGAAGACGGGGACGAAAGGAATGCGACCTGGCCGCTTCAAACTTGAAAAAGTCTGGCCGTTAGAATTCGAACATACATAGAGGGAGGGCAATAAGACTGTCGGACTTCGAAAATGGAAACGCGCGCACGTCATGCCTGAATCTTCTTGTGTTGATCCAACTGACTGACTATCAATCGAATGCGGCGGACATAGCTCAGTTGGGAGAGCGTCAGACTGAAGTCAACTTCAATCACTTAATCTGAAGGTCGTGTGTTCAATCCACACTGGCCGCATCCTCTTTTGCACTTTTGAACCTTCTTCTCCCGTATCAACAATGATATACTCGACTCGCAATGCATGCATACATAACGCGTGTGTTTTTGTTGTTCTTAGATCTTCGATCAAGTCGGTTGCCGTCCTAGTGTGGTAAGTGGGTAGCAGCAACTCTTCAACCATCCAGTAAAAAAAACATACATTAACCGCTAAGAGTGGCATCGCTGCAAACTGGCTCATCTTTGAATGAAAGCTAATATATTCCTCACCTATCTAGGTAGGTTTTTGTGCTTTCCGAATAAACTGCAACCGCACGGGGGTCCATATAGCCTGTATTCACAGCGCCTGTATCGTGAGAAGGACCAGTCTGGCGCCATGCCAACCTGCAATAGTATCGGCAGGTCTCTTTTCTCCAAAAAGAAAAAAAAACTATTTAAGTTATATAGCATCGCATTCCACTCTGGTGTCCTGTTTGAAAGCGCTTGGAATATCAATGATCTCGGGCTGTCATGGAAACTATGCACTTCATCGTCGGTATTTTTTCCAGAGGAGTGTCGGGTTTCATGCCTTGCATCAGAAACAATCGTGGGAGTCTGCCCACGCCCCTCCGCACAGGTAGCAAAACTCAGCTAGGCAACGGCAGGCTCAATACAAGGTTAGCTGACATCTTTTGGACATATCAGAGTTGGGGACCTACTCATGTGAGGACATCCGTCTTGTCGCTCCACCAGTGCACGGCATTTAGGACATCTCTGCCATAAATTCGTCTCGGCCAGCTTGAGAAGTTCCTGAGCTGCTTCATCCTCCTTGCAGGCATAGTCCGCATGCTCGGCACCTTTGCATAAGACACACGTCGTCGTCCGGCATTTAGGGCAAGTTGCCACATCGTCCTTCATGCTCTCCTTGGGAATGAAGGTTGAGCAAGTCGGCTGACGACAGTAGGTTATGTTCGGAGTAGAGAGCTCAATCGCTTTGTCTCTGACCTTCTTCATGAGCTCTGCAGGAATAGCATCGTGGTCTGTGTCTGTCGGGATAGGCTCTCCACAGCATTTGGGGGGGAATTGAAACTCGCCAGTGAGACAAGCTTCGAAGAGCTCGCCTATGCAGTCATGGCAGTAACCGTGCTCGCACGGAGCGTGGAAGGTGTCTTCTTCCCCCATGTTGATAAAGCATGCCACGCAAGTGTTTTTTCCTCCTTGGAAAGCTTCATCACTCAAGGGTAAGTCGGGCTTGGGAGAGGCTGCGGGGGAAGGCGAGACTGAAGTCAAGTCGATAACTGTCCTGGCATCCACGCTGTTGTCGTTGATGTTCCGCGACTTGTTGCGAATCTGGAAAGAAGGGCCGGCCGTAAGTTCGATTGATGGCCTGACCTCGTCTTCGTCTGTCTCTTGAAACTTTCGCTTGGTACCCAGCGCTGATATCATACCTAATTCTTCGTTGCCAGAACTACGAGTCCCGTTTAGACTACTTTGGGTCTGACGATTGGTTGAGGTATGCTCTGAGAAGGAGGTAGATAGTGATCTTAGCTCTGATTCGTACAGGAGAAAGGCTACCTGAGAGTCCGATGGCCTTCTGGCGTTCTCCCTGCCAGTGTCGCCTGTGCGGATGTCTTTGAGGTCTTCTTTCTGAAGCGTGAAGAACAGCTGCCGCGTCTCGGCGTCCATGCTACCGAAGAATGAGGACGACATATTGCTGGAGCCTGGCGTCTCGACGTCGCTGTGAACGAGATTCAAGGATTTCTGATTCGGGTTCCGAACTACAACGGCAAAGTCAGCATTCTTCTCTGGCTTGGCATTACATTGCATAAACATATAGAATATGCATATTTCTCTCGACGCTTGCCATGTCAATGTCATTCGAGTGGCGGAAAGAGCATTCCCTTGGATCAACATACCGAATGCCAGGCAGTCCACAAGGCGCTTCCGTAGGCGCGGTGACTGATGTAGGTGAAAAGGTATGACGAGCTGGAAGTGATCTCGCTTGATATTTGTCGATGCGAAGAAAACCGACAGTTGGATAAACTATAACGCTGACGAGAAAGGGGGGCGAATGTGTGGGAGGAAAGACTGATGCTTAGTCGGCCCCTTAATTTGGGAAAGTGTGATGGCAAAAGAAGCTTGTCGCCAGTGGCCCTTCCTGTTTTACAAAGAACGTCAATAGCAATACACGATAGGTCCGGCTTGAAACTTGACACTGATGTTCTGGGCCAGAGAAACTATGAACTCCGAGAGACTTTCTTTTTTATAGTTTTTGGATGCCTCTTGTTCCATTCCTCCGAAGCGAACAAAGGTTTCTGAAATGCTGGCCACAGCGTTCTGCTTCCTGATCATCAATATCTCATTTACTTAAACACGCTGTATCATCACAGTGACCAACCTGATGCGATCTACCTATCTGTTGTGTCTTCAGGTGGCTCGAAACCGTCTTGTATATACTGTCTTCCCAACAGTCTGTCCGTAAGACTTATACCCTCACTCTGAACATCAATAGCTCATGAACCCAAATCCGGCTGCAACACCTCCTCAGCGGAAACGATTGTACCGACATCGGCGACAAGCTGAAATCTCGCACTGGCGGCACTGGTAGATGAAGAAAGGCATCCTTTCGTCGCAGCCCTGACATTGTCCCAGGTGTCTGGTATTGTGGTCGATGTTGATGCTTCTCCATCGATCATGATTGCACTCGTGGTTCTGTTGAATGTAAACCTGCGCCTGTTGCACTGCTGCTTGACGCTCCGCTTGGCCGAGGTTCCGGGCCCGCGGGTCTCTTTGGACCCTCTGTTCACCGGCGGCGAGGAGTCGGGCTTCATCCCATACGCGGCACTCACAACTCTTCCACTTTTCCAGGCAGAGGTAACAGAAGTGAGCGTTGCAACGACAGGCTGATGCAGGGAATTGTTAGTTAGTGGAAGTTCATTATCACGATGGACGTAAATGGAATAACCCACTGATATGAAAGCACCCTACTCCCAACTCCACAACGGTCTGGCAAGAAGGGCATCGCTTCCACTTGTTATCCTTGGCCAGCTGGAGTACCTGTTGCGTAGCAGCATCCTGAGTGCAAGCATGGTCCTGGTGCTCGGGACCCTTGCATAGAGCGCAGACTCTGGCCTGGCAGGTGGGACAAGTGCCGACGTCTCCATGAATAGTAGCAGGTGGGATAAAGGCAGAGCAAGTGGGGACGTGGCAGTATGTTCGATCCGTTGTCGAATACTCGACAGACTTGGCGTGGAAGATGTTGACGAACTCGTCCGAGAACAACTGTCCTGAGATATCATCGATGGGAATGGCGTGACCACAGCACCGTGGAGGGAACAGGGATTCATCGTTGATGGATGCCTCAAAAAGATCGCGAAGACAACCGGCGCAGTACATGTCTTGACAACCAGGGTTTTCGTAGAGTTCGCGCGCAGCGTATAAATCTCGACAAATGACGCACTCGGCTGCTCTTTCAGGCTGATATAGCCGCTCAGCGGGGTTCGCGTGATGGGCTATTGCTGCTTCGTCAACGGGCTCCTCATAATTTACTTGGTCGACAGGTTCTTCGTGTTCTGCTCCGTCAACAGGTCCTTCGCGCTCTGCCTCCGCAGCTCCTTCCTCCTCAATACGGCGCGCCATAGCTCGGTCGGAGGCCATGAATTGAAGATATGCCAGTTCATTCTGGTATAGTTCAAGAGCCATCTGGCCATCTTGATGGCCATCGAGTAGCTGGACGTTACCCTGCCGGAGTTCCCTAAGGTCGGCTTGCTGAAGCTCAACGATCAACCGGAGCGTTTCGTCGTCCATGCCGTGTAGGAATTCGGCCGCCATCTTGCATATGTGGGATTCACAGTATTGATAACGAAGGGAATTTGAATCTCGCGCCGAATACCTGTGAACTACTTGCCTGCCAAAAGTTAGTTGGAGAGCTAATAAATTTTGCTATACGCAAGAACGCTGTTATGTCAGAGATTCAAAGCAACCTAGGTCTTCAGAACGAATGGAAGCTTCGGAAACGATTACTATAAAACCAACTTACCAAATGCTTGAGAAAGATGCAACAAGAAGTAAAACAGCAGAAGGTGCGGCCACTCAGGAAGCAGGGGCAGTACGTCGTGATGAGGCAAATGAACCGAGAAGTCAGGAACCTCGGGTGTTAGGATTGGATTTGTGAAGAAGAAAGAAGAGAAAAGATCACAGGAGGGGTTTGTAAAAAGCAGGAGAGTGTTTTTCGGGGAAGAGGACGACAAAAGTGGCAGGTGAGTCAAAGCCGGGAGAAGTATCGAGGGAGGCAAGAACAGCAAGAAATGTAGAATTGTCCATGGCTTTGAACTTGAAGCTCGGTAATTTTCTGCTTCATTTGCTCACAGAATTGATTACCTAGCTACTACTTGAGTAGTAGACACACAAAGAGGTAGTGAGTCCATCATAGATACTGAATGGCTCATTGGATCAGCGTGACTGGCCCATTAGTTATATCCAAGATGATCATACTGCTTCATATTGGGCACATATGATGAGTCTTGCCATCACAATGCAGGGAAACTTTTGTCTGTCAGAACATAAAACACTCTACTAGTTGCGGAGATGTTGTGTTGAGCATAGCCAAATCCACAATGAACAAGATGAAGTTCTTCATGAGGTGGGTAGAACCCGAAGCGGAGCGTGCGTCACCTGGCCCGAGCGTTTTGCATGCTGGAAGGTGGATCTGGTGGGTTTTATCTAAACGCCGATCGAGATAAGACTTTTTTGCCTGAAATTTTCCCATGGGGGGACATTATCGATCCCAGCACTCAGTCTTGCGATCAACCGGCAGAGAAACTCATCGACAAAATGGCGGACGATGGCATGATTCTCAACTTTGACATGGGCAGCGGCCCTGTCAAGCCCCACGTCAAGATTCAGGGCGGTCGTTGGCGCGATAGGAACAAAGCGCAGAGGATCGCCAACAGGAGCGAAAAGGGTCCTTCATCACCCTCGGAAGATGCCCCGCCACCTCAGAGATACACGCCCGGGTCCAGGAAACCTCAGAGAGACGATCG